CGGGACGGCGGGGGCCACGGCAACAGCCGAGCGTGCACTAACAGGGTAGCTGCATCCCCCTCATCCGGCCTTGCCCCCGCTGAGGCAAGGGGCACGGGCGGTGATTGCTTGGCGCCAGCTTAGGGGCAGGCGGGCTGACGAATCAGAAATTTAGGAGAGGGAAGAGTGATTTTCTTCTAAGCCAATCAGAAAGTGCTCCCGCCTCTCTCTGCAGTTTGCTTAAGCTTCCTCCTTCACGCTATCTTCGAGGCTGTGCTGACTACAAAACCCAGAATGCAATGCAATGCCAGAACCCGTTTAAGAAAGTCTCGGGGTAGCTGTAGGGACATGCAATCCTTATCTTCAGGCGCGTCATTCTTGCGTAACGCACCTTGGAAACAATTTATGGCTTTTACATGTGTGGTAAGGGCCGCCGAGCCCGAAAATTACCCTAAACTTTTCAGCTGGTGCCGCGTTGGCTTCTTCAAAATAGCAGTCATCATCATTATCAACATCGTAATATATAACAATAATATAATCGTGCATTTTAAAAATCTAGACATTGCATAATGAAATTGGGGGTTTCATTTCGATTAGGTATTTTGAATTCAAAGGCAACATTAAAATGTAATATTCATTAGAAACTCCTTTAATCGAATTAAGATTTGATAATCTTTTGAAAAAAATCCATTAAGACGTTCGATTTATAAAAGCTTAGCTGTTCCTTAAGCTAGGGGTTCTCATCCTGGCGTGCGACCGGATCACGAGCAAATTTGAGGGAGATCAATCGCGCATAATTAATCGTGTGCTTTTGGGGCGGCGGACGCAAAGCCAACTTTTGCCTGGACAAGCCGAGAGGAAAATCATGTTTTTCTATAGTTGACTGCTGTTAGGAGGAAATGCTGATCGAAAATGAAGGTGGAACGAGAAAGAATTGCAGTCTCAAAAGTAAAAGCTCGATTTTAGGAATTATGCGAAACAGCACAACTAATCCTTCTCATTAAAAACTATTGTTTTAATTGTGATGATTTTATTTCCAATGAAAGCGTTTAATGTTACAACGTTGTCAAATGCTATCATTGTTTTATTTCATATAGACAGATAGTTAAGATGCAGTTATTTTAAAATGTGGTATATTTTTTCCCCAATCTTAATGAAAGCCTTAGTTGTATTCATGGGTGTGTGTGTGTGTGTGTGAGAGAGAGAGAGAGAGAGAATTTCATTTAGCGTTTTAGTAAGTCCTTGCACTGAAAAGATTGCAAACCCAACTCCTGCTTTAATCCAAACATAATATTAAACAAATTGTACTATGAGAAGCAAAGCAATTCAACTTTATCTGGGTCTGTGATCACAATATCTCTGATCAAGGTTGGGTACTGAAAAATTCCAAAGTGATTTTTGTTCTTGATTAGTAACTACCATTCAGGTTATAATAAAATACTTGTGGTTGCTCATGTTTTCATGTCTCTAAGAAAGACACAACAATTGGCATGGCTGAGTCTTACTGTATTCCCAGCACTGATTTATCTGTGTCTGTTCTACTAACTGCATCAGGGGGAGAAGTTAGATCAGGACTATTAAATATATTTGCAACATGGTACAAAATGGCTGCCTGGGCAGCTTGCACATTCACAAAAAAGGCTGTCATAGCGTGTGAAGCACATAACAAAATATTTACCAGCAGATAAAGTAGCGAGATTACTTTTCACCATCCTGCCCCTTCCCTAGGATGCTCCCAGCATCCATTTATCTTCTTTTTCTGACAACCTACTGCACAGCTAAATAAAATACTTCAAATGAAACTTTGAAGGATTCCTATGTAGGGTACAGAGATATTCCTAGAGGCTGATTAAAGGCTGGTGCCTGCTTTTTCTTTTATTATTCTTTAAATAATATTTGTAAAAGATGAGGCACAGCCTGGTGTCAGGGAGAGATATGTTGTGTGCCACTATTTAGACTGAAGAAGAAACATTTTTTAATCCTAACTCATGCAGAAGCATGCTTGAAATCTGATTTTCAGGTAGAAGGAAGCAATTCTTAATATTATGTCCTTGCTTCAGGTTATTACCTAAGAAAATCTTATTAATACAATCCCTGACAATTTACATGGCTCAAGCCCAAGCCGGTTTGTGCTACAATTAATTTGCACTGAATGAGATCCACATTAAAATAAAGAAGCACAGCCTTCTGTTTGCAAGTGTCCTTTTATGCAATTTTTGAATCTAATTCAAGATACCTGTTGTTTTTTTTTAAACGCAGCAGTTATACAAGGAGTGCTGCCCGTACTTGACTGATTTCTGTATACTTGGAAGCCCTGGAGGTTCAGAAGGCTAGCTGTAGAATAGTAAAATGTTGTTCTACTAAACCGTTTCAGATTACAAATGGGGTATTATGTGGCTGAATGATTTGTTAGTGGAATTTAGTTCCCATTTAACCAGAGGGAGAGATAGCTTAATGGAACCCGAGGGTATGCCATAGCTGGGCTACAAAAACATGGATGACCATGAGAAGGCAGAAGTGTTTTCTATATCTCTTTGGTGCCATCCCTGTAGTCATCTGGATTCCTGCAGCCCAGTATGGAATTTTGTTTCTTCCAAGATTCACTTTTCTCAGAAGCAAATAATTTTGTGCACATGAAATATTCAGCCAACATTCCCATCCATATTTCAAACGCAGTATAACTCAGGAATGGTTTATTTACTATAGCTGCTCTGTCTATGAGCGAATTGAGCTACATATAGTCAACAAACTGATGTTTCCTTTTGTAACAAATCCTCCAAGTGTGAAGTTTATTTATTTTATTTATTCATTTATTATTAAATTTGTATGCCGCCCATCTCCCCCAACAGGCCACTCTGGGCGGCTCACAATTAAAATAAACCCATAAACAATTAAAAATACCCCATAAATAATTAAAATTAATTAATCCATTAAACATCAACTGTAAAACAAACATCCTTCCTTCCTTCCTTCCTTCCTTCCTTCCTTCCTTCCTTCTCTCTGAGCTTGGCTGTTTGCTTTCATTACTCCACTAGGTAACATAATTGGTGCAAGTGAGTGTGGGATTTGCTGCCTGTTTATATATTGTAGCTTGCCCTGCCAGTATTGGAGGGGATGTGGTTTCCTTCTTGTGGTTCCTTGATTAGAGCAAACCCCACACTGACTCACACTGATGATGTTACCTAGTTGGGTAATGAAACATCTGCAAGCAAACAACCAAGCTCAGAGAGCACCAATATCTCCACAGTTCATCCCTGAGCTACAGATGTTCTACTGAAATCCTCTAAGATTGTTGGCAGTTTGCTGAATGGTATGATCTTGTATCTGGAAGATGCTGTGTTAGGGGACAAGACCAGCCCCTTCATGAAAAAAGGAGGGTAAGAGCTATCTCCAGGAGTTGCTTTTTAATGTCAAGCTACTTATTATTCTTGCCTAGGTGAGGAGACAAATACTTGTGATTCCAAAAGAAAGTGGCTGGCCTTGAATATGATGCACTTTGATTAGGGGAGGGGCTGTTAGTTGCTTCCTCTTAGAAGCATTCCTTGGCCCAGTCTGGCCAAGGATCATAGCCTGAAGCAGTCCTTCCACCTTATTGAAGACTCTTCTTTGGTTGTTTTTCTATGATCTAAGAACTAAAGTAAGATAATTAATTGACCCTGGTTTTTTTTTTTCAATTGACTTTTAAGAGCTGGTTTTATATACTGACTGATGATTGATTTATGTATTATGTGCCACCAAGTTGTTGTTGACTCTTAGTGACCAGAGAGAGATTTTCTCTATGACAATCTGTCCCTAACCTGGTCTTTCAAGTCTTCCAATAGCGCCCCATCACCACTGTAACTAATTCATCCACCTTGCTGCTGGCCATCCTTTTTTTCTCTTTCCTTCCACCTTTTCCAGCATTGTAGACTTCTCAAGATAGGTAGGTCTTTGCATAATATATCTGAAGTAGGATAATTTGAGCCTGGTCATTTGTGCCTCAAGTAAGAACTCTGTGTTGATTTGATGATCCATTGGTTTGTTTTCTTGGGTGTCCATAGTATTCTCAGAAGTCTTCTCCAACACCAACATTCAAAAGTGTCAATACTCTTCCTATCCTACTTCATTAGTCATAATATAGTTTGCTTAGTTCTGACTTAGCTTGTTGTGAAAACACTGCCATTGTGCTTTTTCAACAAATCTTGCCTTAGCACAATATGTGAACCTAGCAAAATGTAATGGATTCTGATATTTACTAAGCATGCTGTTTTGACCTCTTTCCTAACATTGGTGCTTCCAGACTTAAAATTTTATTTTTTATCTCATAATTATTTGTATTCCACTTACTCAAACAATTGTGTAAGTTCAATACTTTTTTCTTTTTGTTTTCATAA